CTCTGAAGAAGGAATGATGTATAAAACAGTAAGTATAGAGAGGTCTGAGCGTCACTTGTAAACAAACTACCTGATGACAAAGATTCAGAGTATGGTTTGATATGAGCTGCAGTCAGAGTCATACAGCATGGAAACAGACCCTTCAGTCCAACTGGACATAATCCCAAACTAAACTGGTTCCACCTGCCTGGTCCTGTACCATATCCCTCCAAACCTTTCCTATTCACGTACTTATCTAAGTGTCTTTTAAACGTAGTAACTGCCCACATCCACCACTTCCTCAGGAAGTTCAGTCCGCACATGAAACACCCTCTGCAAAAACTTTGCCCCTTGTCTTTTTTAAATGTCTTTCCTCTCACTTTAAAAATATGCCCCCTAGTCTTGAAATCCCCCATCATAGGGAACAGACATCAACCATTAACCTACCTATGCCCCTCATGATTTTATAAACCTCTATAAGGTCACCTCAACCTCCCACACTCCAGTATAAAAAATTCACAGCCTATCCAGCCTTTCTTTATAGCTCAAACCTTCCATACCTGGCAACATCCAGATAAATCTTTTCAGAGCCCTCTCTAGCTTAATAAATTCCTTCCTATAACTGGGCAACCAAAACTGGACCCAGTACTCCAGAAGAGGCCCCACCAATATCCTGTACAACCTCAACTTCGCAAATCCTATATTCAAAGATCTGAGCAATGAAGGCAAGCATGCTAAATGCCTTTTTAACCATCCTGTCTGTATATGAAGCAACCTTCAAATAATTATGTACCTGAACCCCTAGATCCCTCTGTTGTACAACACTATTCAAGGCCTTACCATTAACTGTAAAAGTCCTGCCCATTTGTTGTACCGAAATCCAATACCTCACATTTTTCTGCTTTATTAGAACAGTTGATGAGTAGTAGTTAAAACATATTATTTTAAGTATTTCAATACAGTTAAAGTTATGCCAATTTTTTTTGCTTGTATTGTAACCTGTGAGAATGAAGTGTGTTTTGCTTAGAGCCTGATAGTGTGACCAATTGAATTGCATCTGGAATGCAGCGCCTTACACTTGCCTTTAAATAAGATAAAAGTTGGGGTGTAGGCTATCTCCTTGATATATTTTGAGGGGGTTTGGTCTGGTCCATAACACTGAAAATTAAAATCATACCTTTCAGGAGAGAAATTAGGATCCAGTTCTATATACAATGGTTGGTAGGTTTCTTTGCAACAGCCATTACTTCTCCCTTTGTCTTTTGTTCCATTATATTTTTCTCATTTAATTTCTCCCTTTACCCTATTCTAGACCTTCACTTTTTTTTCCTTCATCCTGTTCCCTCCTTTCAAAGACTAGCCAACGAATGCCCTGATTAATCAGAATCAACCTGCCCAGTTTAAAATATAAACAAAACTGTTAACAGTCACTCAGCATTAGCGGGTGTATTCTCCACAGCAGCGCCTCTATCAATCAGAGTCCACTTACCAACAATCAGCATTCTTCTCTTATACAGTTTAAATGTGAGATTTCACCATAAATTTGAATTCTTGCAAAATGTTATGATTGCAAGATGAAAAGTTTCAACAAAATGTCATTTTCTCTGCAATACTCAAATTTTATACTACCAAAGGATTGTCTCCTTTAAACATTGTAAATAGTCAATGGTAACTACGTCCCTCTGCCCCCTCAGGATTTTGGTAATGGGGATTCAGCGATGTAGCGCCATTGAATTACAAGAGTTAGTGGTTAAATTGTCTCTTATTGGAGATGGTCATTGCCTGGATTTGTGTGATGCGAATGTTCTTTGCCACTTTTCAGCTGAATCCTGGCACAGTGGTTAGCACTGCTGCCTCACAGCGCCAGGGACCCGGGTTCGATTCCACCCTTGGGCGCCTATCTGTGTGGAGTTTGCACATTCTCCCTGTGTCTGCGTGGGTTTCCTCCGGGTGCTCCAGTTTTCTCCCACAATCCAAAGATGTGCAGGCTAGGTGGATTGGCCATGCTAAATTGCCCGCAGTGTTCAGGGATGTGGAGATTAGGGGTTAGGTCTGGGTGGGATGCTGTATGTGTCGGTGTGGACTTGTTGGGCCGAAGGGCCTGTTTCCACACTGTAGGGATTCTATGATTGTCCAGACCTCATTTCTTCAGTATCTGAGGAGCTGTGAATGGTGCAGTACGTTGTGCAGTCATTGGCAAAAATCCCCACTTCTGACCTTATGTTGGAGGGAAGTTTGTTGATGAATCAGCTGAAAATAGTTGGGCCCGGAACACTACGCCGAGGAAGTCCTGCAGAGATGTCCTGGAGCTGGGATGACTGACCTGCGACAACCACGACCATCGCCCTATCTACTAGGTATGACTTGAACAAGCAAAGAGATTTCTCCTATTCCTATTGATTCCCTAGCAGTTTTGCTAGGGTCTTTGATGTCGCATTGTGTTAAATGCAGCCTTAAGGTCAAGAGCTGTCACGCTGCTAAAATTTGATTTTGGTTTGATTTATTATCAATTCATGTACTGAGATACAGTGAAAAATATTGTTTTGCATGCTATCCAGGCATATTAGACCATACGTTATTACATCATGGTAATAAGACAGAATACCAAGAAAGATCAACCTTAATATAAGAGAGATCCGTTCAAAAGTCTGATAACAGCAGGGAAGAAGCTGTTCTTGAATCTGTTGGTACATGTTTTCAAACTTTTTTTTTGTATATTCTGCCCAATAGAGGAAGGTGGAGGAGAGTCTAACCGGGTAGGAGGGGTCTTTGATTATGTTGGCCAAATTGCCCAGGCATTGGGAATATAGACTGAGTCAATGGATGGAAGGCTGGTTTGTGTGGGCAAACTGGGCAGCATTCACAACTATCTGTTATTTCTTGCGGTCTTGAGCGAAGCAATTACCATACCAAGCTGTAATGCATTGCTACAGGATGCTTTATATGGTACATCTATAAAAATTGTTTAGAGTCATTGTGGACATGTTGAATTTCCTTAGCCTTCTGAGGCAATGGAAGCATTGGTGTGCTTTCTTAACTGTAGCACCGATGTGGACGGGCCAGGACAGATTGGTGATCTTTACTCCTAGGAACTTGACAGCCTTGACCTTCTCCACCTCAGCACCATTGATGCAGACAGGGCTGTGTCCTCCACTCCATTTCCTGAAGTCAATGACCAGCCCCTTCATTTTGCTGACATTGAGAGAGAGATTGTTGTCTTTACACTTTACACTAAACTCTGTATCTCTTTCCTGTAATCTGTCTTGTCGTTGTTTGAGATCTGACCCAGGATGGTGGTGTCAACAGCAAACTTGTAAATGGAGTTAGAGCAGAATTTGCCACACAATTGTAAGTGTATAAGGCGTGTAGTAGGGACTGAGTACACAACCTGGTGGTGCATCGGTGATGAGAATTATTGTGGAGGAGGTATTGTCTGTCCTTACTGAGTGTGGTCTATGGGTCAGGAAGTCGAGGTACCAGTTGCAGAGGAGGGAGCACAGTCCTAGGTCTCAGAGTTTGGAGATGAGTTTGGTTGGAGTTGTGATGTTGAAGGCAAAGTTAAAGTCAATAAGAAGTCGTCTGACGTAGGTGCCTTTGTTATCCATACGTTCCAGGGATGAGTATAGGGCCTGGGAAATGGCATCTACCGTGGACCTGTTGTAACGGTAGACAAATTGTAGTGGATCATGGCAATCGGAGGCTGGAGTTGATGTGTGCTATTACTAACCTCTCGAGGCACTTCATAAATGATGGATGTCAGAGCCACTAAATGTAATCATGAAGGCACGCTGCATGGTTTTTCTTTTGCACTAGGATGGTAGTGGTCTTCCTGAAGCAGGTGGGAACCTCTGATTGGAGTACAGAAAGGTTAAAAATTGTGAATACTCCTGCCAGCTGGTCTGCACAGGATCTGAGTGCACAGCCATGGTCTCCATCCTGGTCAGTAACTTTCTGTTGGTTCACTCTCTGACATCTGTGGCTGTGGCAGTGACTGTAGATACAAGTGCAACAGAGACTGTTGGGCAGGCCACATCATTTCATTGACTTTCTGTTCAAAACGAGCATTGAATGCATTAAGCTCATCGGGGAGGGATGTATTGTCGCCAGCAATTCTACTTGATTTCACTTTGTAGCCCATTATATTGTGTAAGCCTTGCCTCAGTCGACGTGTGATTAGCCTGGGACTGTAGCTTATTCTGGTATTGTCTCTTGGCATCCCCAATGGCTTTTTGAAGGTGATACCTAGATTTCACCCAACTTGAACGCCTCAGACCTGGACTTCAGTCGGGAGTGGGTTTCCTGTTCATCCATGGTTTCTGGTTGGGGAACACTTGGATTAACTTACTGAAGAAATCTGTGACAGTAGTAGCATACTCATTTAGGTTGGCTGCTGAGTTCTTGAATATGAACCAGTTCTCCAACATCAAGTAGTCACGCAGGAGCTCATCTGTTACCTCGCACCAGCACTGTATGATATTCTGTACCAGATCTTCACACTTCTGTTCCTGCTTGTAAGGCAGGAGAAAGGAGCACAGCATTATGGTCTGATTTTTTTTTTTGTGTAGCAACAGTGCAGGGTGTTTGGACCACTGATGGGAAAGGAGACATGTTGATGGTGTCAGGGTAGCACACTCTTGTGGTTGGCTTGGTTGAAATCACCAACTACAATGAACAAGTCCTCAGGGTATTCTGTCTCAAGGCTATTTGTAGCAGAGTATATTCATCAAAGTGCATTCTTCATAACTGCATAGAGTGAGGTCTAAGCTGCTGTTCTGATAGCAGAAGTGAACTCCAATGCAGCTCTTAGGGACGGCACTTCATCGGTAGATATTCTAGGTCAGGGGTGAAGTGGTAATTCGCCAGGATCAGTGTGTCTGAGCACCAGGAAGTGTTGATTAGGAGGCAGACCTCTCTGGCCTTGCCTTGCTTGAGGACAACATATGATCCACCCAGTGAATTGAGAAACACTCAGGTTGTAAGGCACAGTCAGGTGAAGCAGTAGTGAGCCATGTCTTTGTAAAATGGAGCACACAGCAGCCTGTCAAATCCGTTTGATAGATGAGTCTAGCTTTAAGTTTGTCCAGTTTGCTTTCAATAACTTGCACATTGGCCAGGTGTATGCTTTGGAGGGAGGATTTGAAACCATGTTGTCTGTCTCACATGCAGACCAGCGCATCTCCCACGTTTCCTGGGTAAGTGGCTGCTTCTGGTTGAGCCTGGAAGTTGGTGTGGGTAGTCTGCTGTTGTGGAAGAATTAAGAATTACATTCGTAATAATTATTCATTTTTTGTTTAAATTATAAACTTAGTGTTCAAGATCTGTTATTTGTAAAAGTCTGGTCAGGAACAATTGAGCAATTTTGAAGGTCATTGAAAGTTTTAATTTCACTGTATTGTAAATCCAGTGATAGAAGTTGATTTGGAGATAGTAGGAACTGCAGATGCTGGAGAATCTGAGATAACAAGGTGTAGAGCTGGATGAACACAGCAGGCCAAGCAGCATCAGAGGAGCAGGACCCATTTCTAAAGAAGGGTCTAGGCCCGAAAAGTCAGCTTTCCTGCTCTATACCTTATTATCTCAGTTTGTAATTTTATTCATTTTTGTCTCTCCCTTTTTAAATAGTGGGGTTACATTTGGGACCCCCCAATCCTGAGAAACTGCGAAAAAGTCATACTGTGCTGTTCTGCATTACAGTAATGACCACATTTCAAAAGTGTATTTTGTTTTGCTGTAATGTGCTCCCATTGATCGGAGGTCATGAAAGGTCCTAAATAAATATAAATGTCTTTCAATGTAGAAACTGCTACTTGTGGTGTTGTGTGTGCACTTAAATTCTTCCTCACGTCGTAACCCTTTTATAATATAAAAGCAGTGCAGTGGTTTGGGAAGTTACATTATTATTTGTGATATTTACAAAACAGCTTAGGTGATGAGAAGCAAATCACAATGTAATCAAAAATAAACTTAATAAAAGGATTAAATTCTTTGTAATTAGAACTGTATTGTAGATATCCATAGGAAGTCTGGAGAAAGCTAAAACTAATTTTTTCTTCGATGTAGATTATATTGTAATGCAGAAATATTTGTCTGTAAAGCTTAGTTTTATTTATACATTAACAGTTTGGTTTAATTATGAGACTGAACCTGTGCATTGTGTTGTTTAGAGAGTTTGGTTTGTGTGCTGAAGGAAGTGTGTGATTTAACTGTTTAGGCTAGGTAATGCAGGGTAATTACTTGTTCTTTGTGTAATTCCCAACATGCCCTGTATTTAATGAGGACAATCATGTGTTTTTTCCTCCAAAAGAGACAGGTATATTAAACGTAAAGCCAAAAGATGTGTGAGGGAAAAAAAACTACCAAAACTTCCAGTGCCATCCTTTGGTTGAAATATTAAGCCAAGACCTATTTGATGTTTCCACTGATTAAAGTGGTTGCTAAAGATTCCATGACACTGCAGGAAGAGAAGTTGGAAGTTTTGTTTTCTTTGCCTTAGTCACCATTATTAGCTCAATAATGATGACAGGAGACAAGAAATGAACTGCTCTTTCACCTCACTGCTGTTATTGGATCTCACTGTGCACAAAATAGTTGCAAGTATATATATCTTATCAGCAATTGTTTCCCAGTTGCCAGCGTCAATGGACACCATCTATAAATCTAGCTTACAGGTGTCCTTGTAGTGGAAGTATGGGCATCTAGGAGGTTGTGGCAAATTCACTGTGAAGATGGTCTTTGGGTAGAAGGCAATTGTCCATCTGATGAACATGGCTAAATTGGCAATGGCATTGCTGATTTAGTAATGAATTCATGCTAACGGAACTTGCAAATTCCAGAACATCTCAGTTGGTAATTACCATGCTAGATGCTGAGGATGCACCTGAGACAGCCAAGATGGAAGCTTTTCAGCCTTTTCTCTGCCTAGCATGTAGTTCAAGTCTGACTTCTGTAGGGAGTGCACTGAGGATGCAGATTTGGTGTTGTCAGTCAGGTTGTTGTTTTAAAATCTCTTCCTCAGCTTAGACATAACAGTTATAGATTGTGTGATGTTGATTGATTTCAGCATCAGCAGATTGCTGGTGATTGTGGAGCCAAGATATGTGAAGCTATCAACAACCTCCAGCATTACATTGCCAGTGCTGATAGATAGAGGTATGGCAACATCCTGGATATATAGCATTTGTCCTCCTCACGGGGAAAGTCAAATCCAAACATTTTAAAGGTATGAGTGAGTCCTTTCATTTTCTCTGTACGAGATTCTCATGTAGTCATAATCTTTGCATCACACAGACAGTGATGTTCATACCGTTGTGACAGTTCCCTGTGCTTGTTGAATTCAGGTGCTATAATCATCAGGTGGGGCTTTGCCCACGGCAAGCAAGTTTTGGCAGCATCTGTGAAGTAAGAATCAGAGTTAATGTTTCGGGTCCAGTGACCCTTCCTCAGAACTGATGGTGGCTGGGAAAACGTTGGTTTTTCTGCAGAAAATAGGGAGGGGGATCGGGTAGAGAGTAAACGATAGGATAGAGCCCGGAGAGAGAGGGAGAGAGAGAGAGAGAACTCATCTCTTCCTACTTTGACTCAGTCTTCTCTCCCCTGGTCCAATCCCTGCCTATGTACATCCATGATTCCTCTGACACTTTACGCTGGTCTCAAAGCTTCCAGTTTGCATGTTCCAGCGCCGCCTCTTTGCCATGGACGTGCAATCCCTTTACACATCCATTCCCCACCAGGAGGGTCTTAGGGCTCTGCGCTTCTTCCTGGAGCAAAGGCCTGAACCATCCCTACCCACCACCACCCTACTCCACTTGGCCGAGCTTGTCCTTGTCCCCAACAATTTCTCTTTTAACTCCTCTCATTTTCTTCAGGTCAGAGGGGTGGTCATGGGTACCTGCATGGGCCCCAGTTATGCCTGTCTCTTCGTGGGGTATGTGGAACATTCCTTGTTCCAGTCCTATTCCCGCCCCTACCCACAACTCTCTCTCCAATATATCGATGATATCATCGGTGCTACTTCCCCCTGTCGTCCGAGATTGGAAAAGTTCATCGATTTTGCTTCCAATTTCCACCCTGCCCTCACTTTCACCTGGTCTATCTCTGACTCCTCCCTTCCCTTCCTCGACATTTGTGTTTCCATTTCTGGGGATAGACTGGCCACTAATATCCATTATAAACCCACTGACTCCCACAGCTACCTGGACTTTATATCCTCTCCCTCCCTGCTTCCTATAAAGACTACATTCTGTCATTTCCTCCTTCTCCATCGCATTTGTTCAGATGAGGCCAAGTTCAACAAGGGAGCCTCTGAAATGTCCATCTTCTTCCTCAACTGAGGATTCCCAGCACCATTGCCGACAGGGCCCTCAACTAGGTCCGACCCATCTCCTGCACTTCCGCCCTCACTCCTTTGCTTCCCTCCTGCAACAGCGATAGGGTTCTCCTTGTCCTTACCTAACATCCCACCAGCATCCACATCCAGAAGATCATCAAACACCATTTCTGCCACCACCAGACACATATTTCCCTTCCCTCCCCTCCCTTGTCCATCTTCCTCAGGGACCATTCCCTCTGGGACACCCTGTTCCACTCTTCCTTCAACCCCATATACCACCACAGCCCCAGGGGACCTTCCCCTGCAACCAGTGAAGGTGCAACATCTGCCCATTTACCTCTTCCCTCCCCGCTATCCAAGGGCTCAAACATACCTTCCAGGTGAAGCAACACTTCACCTGCACGTCCCAAAATCTAGCCTACTGCATTCGCTGCTCACAATGTGGTCTCCTCTACATTGGGAAATGAAGCTTAGACTGGGTGACTATTTTGCAGAGCATCTGCGTTCTGAGCTACCTGTTGCCTGCCACTTTAACACACCACCCTGTTCCCTGACCAACATATCTGTCTCTGGCTTGCTGCAGTGTTCCAGCAAAGCTCAATGCAAGCTGGAAGAACAACACCTCATTTTCTGCTTGGGGACCCTGCAGCCCTCCAGACTCAATAATTTTACGGCCCAAACTCTCTCATGTCTTAGCCCCCTACCTCTCAAATCAGGCCTTGTTATCACATAGCCTGTCATTACACACCAGCTATTGTTAGTCACTAACAGTCCCCATTAACAACTATTCACCCTCCTAGCCAAATCGTTATCGACTCCTTTGTCTATCTAACTGCTCCTCTCTCTATCCTATCGTTTACTCCCTACCCCATGACCCTCCCAATTTTCTGCAGAAAACCAATGTTTTCCCAGCTACCGGAGATAGTAGGAACTGCAGATGCTGGAGAATCCGAGACAACAAGGTGCAGGGCTGGATGAACACAGCAGGCCAAGCTCCTATGATGCTGCTTGGCCTACTGTGTTCATCCAGCCCTGCACCTTGTTGTCTCTTTTCCCAGCTACCATCAGGTCTAAGGAAGGGTCACCAGACCCAAAACATTAACTCTGATTTTTTTCTTCACAGATGCCGCCAGATGTGCTGAGCTTTTCCAGCAACTTCTGTTTTTGAAGTCAATAGTTTTGTCGAGCTTCTCCGTTATACATTCAATGTCTAGCTCTACTATAACAGGCAGAGGTATCTAGAGTTTCCTCAGTAACAGTGTACAACTCAGAGGAGCTGAACTTCTCTCCATCTGTTTATTACAGTCATGATGACTTCTTTGCCTGTTTAGAGTCGAGCCATTTTTAATACAAATGGACCTCCTGTGTTTTTGATCCCTTCATGAAAACTCTAGCATTCCTGTGTTCAAAGGACGTCTGGATATTTTGACAAAGTTGTAGTCATTAGTGCACTGCCATTTTTTTTTGGACTTTACATTGGTGGCTGTTTCTGCATTCAGTCTTGTCATTCTGGCTCAATGACAAAATATAATTCTAGTCAATTTGAAAGATGGTCGTGACCTGAGACATTATATTTTCCCCTCTCAGCACGTGCTGCCAGACTGGCAGAGCATTTCCAGCATTTTCTGTTTTTTATTTGTTAATAACTGGAGTAGCTCATTTTTCTCTTTAGGCCTGTTACATTATTCAATAAGATTGTGGGTGACCTGTACCCCAGCTCCATTTACCTGATGTTACATAGTTACACAAAGTATTCAGAGATGGATTGTTCCCTTTATCTGAGGGGAATAGAATGCAAAAGTGATATTTCAGTTGTTTAAAGTTTTGGTTCGACCCCATTGAGCACACTGTCTTACATGTTGTGCCTTTTATCTCAGGAAAGGTTATCAGTACAGATTCACCAGTATGTACTTGAACTTTAAGGGTTCAATTATGAAAACAGGGTGCATAAATGTTGTTTGTATTCCATCAAGGTTAGAAGGTTGAACAGTGATGTAACAAAGGTAAAAACCGAAAGAACTGCGTATACTGTAAATCAGGAACAAAAACAAAGTTGCTGGGAAAGCCCAGCAGGTCTGGCAGCATTTGTGAAGGCAAAAACAGAGTTAACGTTTTAGGTCTGGTGACCCTTCCTCAGAACCTGTTCTCATGTAACAAAGTCTTTGAAACAGGAATGATAAACTTTCTTCTTTTTGAGGAATTCAGAACAATGGAGGCTAACATTAAAATTAGAGCTAGTGAAATCAGGAGGCATCTTTCACGTGAAAGGTAATGGATATCTAGAACACACACTTTCTAAAATGCCATGAATGCCAAGATAGTTGGCATTTTCAAGACTAGAGCTGAAAGATGTTTCTTAAGTTCTATATTGGGAGGATTATGGAAACATAATTAATGGAGTTGAAGTCTGGATCAGCAAGTGATTAATAGGTCGAGGGGTTAAATGAGTTTCTGCATATTTTACAATCTGAAGGTAAATCTCTGTTGGGAATTGGTATCCTAGAGTAGTTGGTGTAATTTGTATGTGTTCTGTATGTTTACTGGACCTTTATCTCACTTAAGTTAGAACATCTGTAAAACCAAATGTGTTACAAATCACAAATTGCTAAGCACGTTTAGAGCAAATTGAATCTGAACTTTACTGCTGTTTTGGTCAGAATATTCAAATCAGAACTGACTACAAAGAAGAATTTGCTTTCTGATACTTAACAGAAATGAACAGAACCATGGAATTCAAAGTTGTTCCTAATCCATTCATACCTGGAACTGATTTCTAAAAATAGAAATACTGTTGACAATATTGTATGAAAGACCAGATTCTGAAAGAACTGTATATAGCATTTGAAGTTATTAATTTAGTGTAGAATCTGTGTCTTTTGAATGGGTAAACTATATACATC